GAACCAGGACAGTCCAGTCTGGAAATCGAAGTGCCTATGGGGTTATTGCAGCTGCTGGTATGATGCACAGGCCCTCCCACTTCTACTTCCCTGGGCCTGGGGCAGCTGTTTCTAGGAGCTCGGGCTTGGGGAGGGGACAGGCTGCAGACCCCAGTCCCCATGCATTAGGATGTTTGTGGGTGTGGGGGCTCCTTGCATTCCCTCACCCAATCCATCTGTCTGTTCCCCACAGTGGTGCTAAGTGCAGGTTTGGTTGCCGCCACTCTGCTTGTGTTGTCCCGGCTCCTGTACCCGCCAGGGCTGCTGGTGGTCATGAAGGAGTCCCTGCTGCTGCCAGAGAGGAAGACCTCACCACTCTGAGGATGAGCTCTTGCCATCATGTTGCTGGCGCCCTGAGTGTGGCATCTGTGGGGACATGCATGTGGCTGCTGGCACACCAGGCCTCAGATGTGGGTTCTTCTGACCATAGTCCTGCAGACCTGAGTTCCTGTGGACTTGACCCTGGAGACTGGATGTGCCTGACCCAGCCCCTGAATGTGGAGAGCCTGGATCGGAACATGCCCCACCTGGGGTTGGCCCCAGGCCGCTCCAGGGTGGCCTGTGCATAGACACTGCTCCTGCCCTGCCCCGTCAGAGGGTGGTGATTAAAGTTATTTTGCACCATCTGCCTGCTTGTGGGCCTCTGTCTCCCTCTGCACAGGCAGTCTGGGCAGCAGCCCACCTCTGTGGCCATTCTGTTTCTTGCTTCCTGGGACCCAGAGCAGGGGTGGTTGGGCAGTCTGCATTACCCACAGGCTTCAAGGAGAGCAGAGCTTGGGCATTGCCTCCTGGAGTCCAGAGGATCCCTGGCTGCCTCTTTGAAATGGAGGCTGGTTTCTGCTCCAACGCATTTTAAAATGTAGGTTTTATTATCCAGGTATGATGAGGCCAACAGATCAGGAGAGGGCACGTTGTCCTTGGCTGGTGTGGCTCAAAGGTTGAGCCTTGACCTATGAATCAGGAGATCATGGTTTGATTCCCAGTTGGCACATGCCTAGGTTGCAGGCTCAATCCCCAGTAGGGGACATGCAGGAGGTGGCTGATCAATGGTTATCTCTCATTGAGGTTCCTATCTCTTTTTTCCTGTCTGAAATCAATAAAAAAAGAAAAGACACATTGTGTCCTGTCCACTGTTTTACCAGTGGTTAGAGCATTGGCCCGTACACCAAAAGGTTGTGGGTTTGATTCTCGGTCAAGGGCACATACCTGGGTTACAGGTTCAATCCCTGGCCCTGGTCAGGGTAGAGCAGGAGGCAACCAATCGATATGTCTCTTTCACATTGATGTTTCCCCCTCTCCCCCTCCCACTCTCCAAAAATCAGTGGAAAAAATATCCTTGAGTGAGGATTAACAAAGAAAAGAAATATAACTCCCTAAGAGGAGGGGCCCACCTCTGCAGTCAGGAGGCAGAGGGTAGGAGAGAAAGGGGCCAGAGCCTTGATGGTGGTTCCCACCAGAGGAATGAGTGAGGCAGGGTTAGCAGGCTTGGACTGCTAGTTTGAATAGTTTCAGTGGGCTCGGCACAGGCACTGTCTATTTTGCGTCAGCCTGTTGACAGTGACGCACGAGCTAGGAAGGCCTGAGAGACACCTGGGTCTTGTGTGCTATCTCAACACATTTCCCTGACCAGAGCCAGAGTTGTGGCTTGCCTGGCCCTTGTTCTTAGTATGATCCCAGGATGCACCTCAGCAGCAACCACCAGGGAACTTGAAGGAACAAGATTTATTACTCATGGGTCCTGGAGCTTACATGGCAGGCTCAGGCCACTCGGCGTGATTGGGGAGTGAGGGATGGCATGGACCTGGGGGTTCTGCCTTTATTAGGGACGGAGGGTGAGTCATCTAGGGTTGCCTGGGTTCTTTGTTGG